ACACTGTTTTGGACAAAGAACAAAACAAAACAAAACAAACAAGCAATCCCCCACCAGCATCAACAGAATCAGATTTCCTTTAAATTATACTATTGCAAGAGAATGTAATCAGGTTACCTCTATTATGTTGCTTCCTTAAGATTTTCTATTATCTATACTTAATTGAGATACAGAGCTCTTTTCAGCTATAAAGACGACAGCTACTTTATTAAGGTTTAAATCTGATTTCTTAATGATAGGCTGCTTCCTTTAAAGACTCGAAACCTGCACAACCTTCTTATGATAAAACCAGACCGGGCACGGTTGAGTCTGGTACTTTATTTAAAACCAGCCTGAGAGTCTCTGAAGGGTGTTAGTTTAAAAGAAAGGTCCCTTGCTTTTGTTTCAGTGTTGGAATTTGAGGCTAGCACTTAAAAAGAGAGCCCAGCACATCCAAAGCCTAGGTTTAGCTGAGTAAGGATGGAGGATGCCATGGTAGTCTCTGATATGGAAACATTCTTCCCTCCAATGTGTTGCATACATATTTGTTCAGTTAAAATGAATTAAAATGAATTCATCTTTTAGAGGTTGGTGACATCCTTCAAAATAGCAAAAGATATCCTAAGGAGTGGCAAAACCAGACTGAGAAATCACTGATTTGAATAATAATGGCAGTGCATAGCCTTTTTTGTTTGTTTGTTTGTTTTTTCCCCCCCAATCTACAAAGGCAGAATTTATTCTTAATTTCTCAGTGCTTCTGATACACAGATTTTCTCCGCTAATTCTGGTAAGAGTTCATATTTATATGTACAAATTTCTTCTAAAGCATGTATCTATTTAGTCATTAAGTTCCAGGTCCTTAAACACTCACAGGGACAGAGCAATAAATCTTCCCTCTGAGAATGCAGCCTAAGAGGGAGAAGTTAGGGGAAGGAAAGAGAGCCATAGAACTGCTATTTATGGAGCACAGCTACATAGTCTGGATCTTTCTGATCCATGGTATGTGTAATTATGTGTCTCACTGCAGGCGCTCTATTGCTCAGTCCCTTTGCCAAGTCCACTATTCACATACTTTTTGGATATGGCGTCAATTAAACTTGAGCTGTGTTCCTTATGACGACCAAATTAATGGTTTGACAGGCTTTTTCAATAAACACTGCAAACTGGTCATATTTGAAGGTTTTAGAAACCATTTCTTTTCTGTTCAAAATTCTGACAAACATGTCTCAAGACAGACTGGGACAACTTCATTATCCTTCCAACACTTAATGCCTTTTTGTAAAGAAGGCTGTTTAATAACACGTCTGCTGTTTTCACAACTAAATTATTCCAGTTGGTCACACGTTCCAGTCTTCGGCAAGACACTGTGTTACGAGAGATAAAAACATGAAAAAGGAAATATATTGCAGAAATCAAAACCTTATCTACTTCTAGACTCTCTCTCTTTGCCATAATTCATTCAAGAAGGCCCCAAGAATAATTTTTGATGTAAACTCAGCTACAAACATACATCACTATGCTGATAAAAATCACAGGCTAAACTTATGAAATATAGTGACTTTCATTTCTTTAGTGCTGTTAAAATAACTTTTTTCTAAGGTTCAACAGACACAAAAGATAAAAAGGGTTACCATTAATCCTTTAAAAGAAGAAGAAGAAGAAGAAGAAGAAGAAGAAGAAGAAGCAGCTGCCGCCGCCGCTGCCACCGCCCCACAGATTAATTCTGTGGTCTGATGATGGTCTTTAAGATAAACTTTTTAGATTAAGTCACTGAATTAATTTGATGAAGATACTGGAAATCATAAAAAAAAATAACACAGCATCAAGCCGATTCAGTTAATGTATCTTTGTTTGGGCTCTTTACAACATAAATTATGCTGAGAAACTTTTGGTTTCTCAATCCTGGCCTCATTAAATTCAATTTGAAGACAGCAAACATCCATTGAGGACAATTCTGCAGGCACTGTGGTGCTATGGATGAGGATAGAGAAACTAGTTCCTGGATCAATTAGTTCAGCATGGAGATTGCGGGGCGGGGGGGACAGACTTCAAGTCGATAAACAGCACAGTGTGAGAGGTGCTGTATCAGAGTTTGCTGTGCAAACTCTTTGGGACAAAGTTATGGAGAGAGCCTGACACTGGAGCTGGACCTTGAAAAAAGGGTGAGCCAGACATGAGGTACTGGAGGTGCCTGTCAGTTAGAGGGAGGGTCAGTGGGGAGGTGTACTCCAGGCAGTGGTAATAGCAGCAGCACAGAATTCAAGGTGTGTTTGTGTGCAAATAATTCACAGTGATCATAGTCCAAGTTTAGGATGGGAAATTATGGGCTATGAGCCTGGAGTAGTCAATGTCTGTAAAGACTCCTATGGTGAGGAGTCTGGCTTCTGTCCTGTGAGCCTGTAGCTTTCAAACCTTTTTTAAAGCAGCAAAATCCCTTTTATTGGTTGACTGCAGAATCCCCAAACAGAAAGAAGTAGCACTCTGTTGACTGAAGGGGAGGTGTCATACCCAAGCCTGCCCCTTTCCCTGCGCCCAGCCCCTGAGGTCCCCCGAGGACCTAGAGCTCTGAGGAACATGGTTTGGAAAGCACTGTGATAGGGGCACAGGAACTTAGGAAATGTCTGACTGGGGCAGTGCACCTCTTTGTTCAGGGAACTCACAATTTCTAGATCTCTGGAACCACAGTGAGAGAGAAGGAAACCTCTTTAAGACTTGCATGTAAGTAGGTTGAAAATAAGACAAACCATCCAGTAGGTTGAAAATAAGACAAAAGACTCTCTTCCTGGATTGTCAATATTGAAATGGTGGACCCCACGTCTGCTCTGTATCCCCACAGCTTGGAACTTGGCACCTCTCTCAGAGATGTGTAATATTTACTTCCTGACTGCCTGATGGCAAGAGGCAACTGGGAGGTGGTGGCTGTGCATCTTTTCTTCCTTCCCTCTTAGGGTGTGTTACACCCTTCACTTTCAGTGCCTGAATCACACACAGACTTCTTTGGCATGTGAGTGTCTTGGTATGAGTGTAAAGGAAATCTGAATCCTCTTTCTAGTTCTTTTCCTAACCTTTCTACTCCAGCTTATCCATCTATGAACATGTAAGCAACTGCCTTTCATTTCTCAGAGACATGGAGAATTTCAAAATGTTACTTTTCAAAGCATCCTGAATTCTTGGGAAGAAAGATGCCAGAACAATGACATCTTTATTGGCTGATAAGCTGGAGTGGGAGGAATTAGGAAGATGTTTATCTAGAGGTGGAGGCAAGTGCTCCAGAGCAGTAAACAATTTTCTCACCAGCCCCTTCTGGCTGCCATCTTGCAGAAACCCCTCACTAGGATGACAACAATGGCAGGAAGTGAGAGTGGGTGGGCATGGTCTGCCTCCTTTCCCCTGTACCACTAGGTTCTCCCTTTTTGTCAAGCTGGAGACCAATGGGTTGAAAGGAGGAGATTATGTAGCCTAGCACAGCTGGATTTGATAAAACAAATACCCACCCATAAATGAGGCAATGTGGCAGGTGCCCTGTCCATAGGACCCCTTCAGGTGGCTCTCTGCTCCTATGTCCCTGCTTAGTATTATCTCAAAAACTTGAACCATATTATAAACACTTGCTGGCCTTTACATTTCTTACTGTTTCTTTTGAGTATGTCACTCCTTATAACATTGGTTCCCAATTCAGTGGGCACTGGAATAAAGAGGATTAACAAAAATTAGAAGCTCATATCATCCTCCAAGTTAATGAATCAGAACCCACTGGGGAAGGGTGTGTAGGTGGCCCAGTCAGTTAAGCATCTGACTCTTGGTTCTGGCTCAGGTCATGATCTCAGGGTTGTGAGATTGAGACCTGTGTCAGGATCCCTGCTCAGCAGGGAGTCTGCTTGAAGATTTTTTTCCCTCTGTCCCTCTTCCTACTTGCTCTATAATAAAATAAATACCCCCTCTCCCCCCCCCCCCAAAAAAAAACCCACTGGGGATGGGCCCTGGAGAACTGCATTTTAAATAGGCTCCACAGGGGGCGCTGGGTGGCTCAGTGGTTGATCATCTGGCCTTTGGCTCAGGTCCTGATGGGGGTGGGTGGGGTTCCTGGGATTCAGTCCCACACTGGGCTCCCTGCAGGGAGCCTGCCTCTTCTTCTGCCTATGTCTCTGCCTCTCTCTGTGTCTCTCATGAAAAAAATAAAATAAAACCTTTAAAAAAATTAAAATAAAAAATAAATAGGGTCCACAGGCAATGCTGATATAAACAGACTCTGACAACTACTCTCTTGCAGCCTTTTCCAGGCAACTAACAAATTCTTGTACAGTTTAAACTTTTTTCTTCCATGAAGGAATTTCAGTGTGATCTCGTCCTTTCTGCCTCTTGATGGGACTGAAGGCTTAAAAATAATTAATCTAAATGCTACACTCAATTACTTAACTGCAAAAATATAATATGCCAAAAATATATAACCAGACTGTGTCTACTTTGATAATTTAAGCAGAGGAGTGCCAACCCAGCAGCGATCTCTTCTGCAGGACCAAGAAGGAGTTTAATTACGAGCTGGTAGGTCATGCAGCTGCCAATAATCTGGAGGGTGTTGACACTTCCGGCTTGATGGATATCTAAATCTAGTCTTCGGCTGCCACAGGAAATCTCCTAGCTTCTCTCTATCTGGCAAAGAAGGAAGGCAGGTCCAGGTCTGACTGCTCAAGTGTCCCAAATGGGAAGAAGAAGGGAGAGCATGAGGGCTCTGGTGCATCAGGAACGTGCCCCTAGGTCCCCAGCCTCCAGAGTGGGGCTCCTAAGGTCAGAAACCGTGCTATGAGGTTCTCTGCTGCCATCAAGACCTAACAGGATGGGGGCCCATGTCAGGCTCTGGGCACCATAATACAATCCTGTTTGATTAAAAGAAATTTCTGGTAATGAATTAAATAGACCCAAGGAAAAAAGGACACGGTGGCAATATATTCTCCTGGCACCCAGCACACAGAGGGGAAGAGGGGGAAGAGAGAAAGGAGACATAAATAAAAGGGACTACTCACTAGGGCTTTTTTCTTCAGCAAGGTCACAGGCACAGAGCAGGTCAGAATCGATTGAGATGGGTTTCTGCTTAATCCAAAACTTAGTGCTGGCTTTCTGATTCGTAACAGGGTCTATCTCTATTTTGTCTCCAGAGATACCTGTAAGGCCGGGGGGGGGGGGGGTGAGGATAAGGGAAGGACAAAAAAATAAGGCATAAATGTGGAAAGTGTAAGTGATTTCAGTGTAATCATTTGACCTGTTTTGCAAATCCTAAATTGGATGAACAAGAGCTCTTTCTTAGGGCTTTGGGGAATGCCACGGGTTTAAGACAGACATAAGGAGACTCCAACGGCACACAAAAGTTGCACAGCCTGGTTTCCTGGGTGGGTGAGTTGCGGGGAGAAGCCACTAAAACCCATATAAAAAGGTATTAAGAAACATGCCATCTTAGATGTACCACAGATACAATAGAGAGTTTACCTACATATTGTTAACCCTACATAACACCTTGATTGTAATGAAGTAAAACATAATGTAAGGTTCACTAAAAAAACAAACAATTTTGATCAGTAGTCTTTTTTCTGATCTAGAAAAATCTTACACATTAAAAATAGGAGAAATCTATCTCTTCCCTTCTCTGCTACTAAATAATTATGCAAACTATATTGAGAAGTCGTCACAGGAGGATCAAAGGGTCCTTTACATAAAACCTTCCAAGTTCAAGTCTTGGAGCCTGGCTTCAGTCTGTGGAGGTCACTGCTTCTCCGCTGAGGGAGAAACAGCACTGGGTGTGAGCTTTATGCAACAAAGGCTTTATAACAGGAATCCAGCATGTTAAATACTGGCACTTCAGGTTCCATTTTCAGAGCTGTGAAAGACATAACATATCGTACAGTGACTGGAAGCAAAGGTGTTAGGAGAACAAAGGTAATACCAGGGATGAAAGGTGTCCTGGAATAACCGTGGCAATATATAGCAATTGCTCTCCCAGTGTTACTGAGCAGTATACTCTCAGCTTGACACACACATATGATCTAGGCTGCATGCTCTCTTTTTCCTATTTTACTGAAAATCAAGGAATCTGTTTATGAAGTAAGACAAAAACCTTCAATATGCCTTCCAGAGTGCGCCTCAGAGAGAATCTTGAAAGTAATTAATATTTAGGTCATAGTTTAAAGGTCAGGGGCAAAGTGGAAAAAAGCAAAATCAAATAAAGTATGAGATAATTAAAACCACAAATGTACATCCTGTAACAAAAAGACAATCAAAATTAATACATTTCATTCCAGGGGTCACACTCAGAAATTTTTCAGTACAACACGAGAAAACTTCGTAGACCAAAAGAAAAAGCAGATAAAAGAAACAGCTCAATTAAAAAACAAAACTACAAAAAAAAAAACACAAAAAACCCAAATAACACAATCACCACAGTCTGAGAGCAAATTTAAAATTAAACAAGAAAACAAATATAAAAAAAAATTCTAGTGATATGGTCTGCCACATATTCCGTTTCTATTTTATTTTATGAATAAAGAAATCTTAAATAGCAGTTAGACAAAGGCAGGAGGCCAAACAGACAGATTCCAGTAGAGTCTTATCTGCTGTCTTCAGAAGAGACAATGCAGTACAGTTGCTTAACCCTGGTCATTACTGTGTAGTCTTTGGAAAAGATGAACAATTGGTATTTTTTATTAATTGAATGCTGGAATTTGACATTAGACATATTTCAGGAACACCATATTTCAATTAGGCATAATGTCATAAGTCCAATGGACTCTGGTCGTTCAGGTCTAGATGATTTCAGGAGGGTGAGAATGTATCAGGAGACCAATTTTATTACATTTCACTTAAAATAGATTACGACTACCCAGTTACACTCTTCCCTCCATTTGGTCATTAATTGTAAGAGATCTGGACATTTCTATAGTTCCCTGAAAGAAGGAAAGTACTGATGCCATAGCTGTTGGTAGCAAGTGGTTTTTTAATTTTTTTTGGTCCCCCCCTCTTTCTTCTGCTTATTTTGACATTTATAAAAGTCAAAAAGTGAGCAGAGCAAAATAAATGTGCATATCTCTTATGTAGAATAAACCCTGCCCCATATTCCTTTCTTAGCAAGAGAAGAGGGAAAAAAAGCATCACTAGAGAGGCACAGCTTTAAAATTTTGTTCTACGGTCCTGCAACTCCTGAAGCTGTAGTCAGTCAATATTGTTAATGTACCTTGTTAATTTGATAGGATTTGTCAGGTAACTCCACTGGAAAATTATATAAAACTGTTCCAGATGAAAAGATGATAGTGACATGAATTAAAGTGATAGAACAATAGTGGAATATAAACCAGAAATGACACCCAAAGTGGCTGTTGATTTATTGCTATACTGAGTTTGGTTCTGGGCTCCCATGTATATTAGTGCTACAAATCTGGGTCCATTTAGCAGAGGGATGCTCATACATACATCACCAGCTCCTGCTCCAAGCCAAGGTCACTCCCCATGGCATCAATCTTTTCAACAGAGCCTACTTCACAAAGCAGGACTTTTGTAACCATCTCAGATGTAACAGACTCTCATCCTCTTTCATCTTTCTTTTATCATGTAAAGTACACTTTAACTTCTATTATTTTTATCTGCAAATTGTTACTGTAGAGTTCATCCATTTCTGGCTGTATCTCTGCATCAATTGCATGCGCTCTGCATGGCCACAAGAACACTTTCCCAAAGACACCCTTTCTGGGGGTTATTGTGCAGTCTCTGTTCGCAGAGGGGAACCCCAATCCTGGCGTTTGGGGATGAAGATGTGGGAGATGAATGCATTAGGTTCAAGATGGGCAGGCAGGTGGAACATCATTTAAACAACTAATGTGCTCCCAAAAAGTTGCCTGTAAATCAGATTTTTTTCTGAATCAGATCACATTTTCCCACTGACTTCTAGTTCCAGAGACACTTTATATTAATTTTGGATTGATCTGTAATTGGCAGGGGCTCCCAACACTTTAGTTTTAAATTTCTCTGCCCTGCAGGCTTTCAGTCAAGTAGTTAATGATCTGTAAAATACTCGCTGCCTAGAGGAGTCACTATTTAAAGGAACCTGTAGGGGGAATCTTTCCTGATGGGAAAAATCCTTTTGTACATTAAATAATTTCACCTTGCTTGAGATGTGTGAGTCTTAGCTTCTTAAAGCAGGGCACACAGCCCACAGGAGCTGATCTGCTCTTGATGCACAAGTGACAACCCTCTGCTTCCAGTTTAGGAGGGTCTGTGGCAGTCTAGCCTTGGAGCCCATTCTCCTCAATGTACCTAGAAGCCACTGCTGAGTCTCCAGAACTTCGGCTGGAAGCAAACAGAGACCTCTTCTTCTCTGCCTGGGGAGCTCAAGGGGTCTTTCTTGGTTGGACAGAGAAAGTAGCCTGGAGGAGAGGAGACCAGTTAGGAAGCTGGCACAACAGTCCGGGCCAGGGGCAAATAAGAATGAACATTATTACCTGGCACCAAATACATGTTAGCATGGTTAGAAATCCTTTGTGTGTATTGATTCAAATCTCAGGACAGTCTTATCACATTGGTTACTATATTTAGCCTTATTTTATAGATGAGAAAACTGAAACACAGGGAGGTTAAGTAACTTGCCCAAGGTCACATGGCTAAAAAGTGGCAGAGCTAGAATTTAGAGAAAGTCGGGAAATTTGCTTCCAGAATCTGTTCTCTCAGCCACTATGCCATTCTGCAGGAACTATGCTAGGGGTTTTATATAACATGCCCCAGGAGGGGTGAAGGTGCTTGTCCAAGGTTGGGGAGCTTTTCCGTGGAAAAGCCATTTTATACCCAGAGCTACTTACTTGGTTCCCAAGTATGGTACTTCCCACTGCTTTGCACAGCCTCATTCAGTTAAGTCCAGATGTAATAAGGAATTCTGCTTAGTTTAGTCTTTAGTATCCTTTTTCAATTTTTACCAATGAACAAACACAAACATTCAAACGTGCTGATAAATGCACACGTGCTTTTGTTCCGACATGGCAACATGGAGCATGAAAGCCTATCAATATTCTTCTGTATGACCACTGAGCACGGTTTTAATGTCCTTGACAAAAGCTTTTGTTTAAAGTCATGAAAGAAAGGCAGGTGTGCTCCTTAAAGTGTCACTTGGGCACTATTTTTAAGTAATTCAAACTATAAACATACATCCAAGAAAACAAGGGAAGTTGGCTTTTGTTAAGTTTACATTTCTCCAACTTAAATGGCCTATAGAAGAATAGTTAATCCAATCATGATGGAATACAACACAACCATGAAAAAATGTGTATGAGAAAAGGTTTGACTTGGAAGAATTCTTGTGAGGCTAAGTGAAAAGCAGAGGAAAAAGATATTTATAGAAAGGAGATCTAATGGATATGCTCCAAACTGGCAACAGTGGTCAATTCTTGCTAGTAGAATGATATCTTTTCCTTTTCTGTTCTTTTCCAAAACAGAAATTTCACTCAAAATAAAAACAAACATCATTTTAGGAGCTGACATTTTCTTGGTTTCTATTTCAGGATTCAGTACACCTGCCTAACTTTTACAGTGTGGGGAAGGGAGTAAGCTGAATCCTGTGATTGATAATTGTTGGGCTGGGGAGACTGGGGACCTCAAAGTGGCCGACCGGAGGCCAGCAACCTCCCAATAACGCCGCCCCACTCCCATCTTCCCGCCAACGCCGCCTTGCCGCCCTACCCTAACTTAGCTTATGAAACCCGTAACCCTTGCCCTAACTGGAAAAAAACAAAAAAACAAACCAAGACCCGGAAAAGACCGAAAACCTGAAAAACACCATCAAATAAGGAAACCTCCCCCCATATTTCCTTACCAACCCTCCTGCCAAAAACTCCTTATAAACCCACCTGCGACCTGCCAGGGGGCGACTTCCCCCGTGACGTCCCTGCTCTCTCTCTCCCCTGCGGGCCTTGGAACCTCTCCTGAGAGCGCATCCCATTAAAAGCCTGTTTCGACCAACTTTTGCCTGGCCTCTCTATTCCATTTCACTACTGATCAGATTAAACCTGACATTTGGTGCCGAAACGGGAGGAGATCAAGGCCCCACACTGGTGGGAAGCCTCTCTCTTCTCACCCCCCAGGCTCAATGGCCCCCTGGGGGTACTTTTGACTAAACTTGACAATAATCATG